AGGGTACCTGCCCAAGCGTCAATATGTGACGAGTTGGGAGTGAGAATGTGTTGAATAATATGCTGACTGAGAAACAGCCTTCTCTTGCACAAAACTTGTTTCTATGCTGATTCCAGGCATAAGCAAACAAAATTATGAAATTTTAAAGGTTCAGAATAAGTGCAGGACCTACTGTCTTGATCCCTTTGTGTGCTGGAGAGTGGCCATGAGATCATCTTCAACTTCCCCTGTTGTCATTACCTCCCTTGCTGAACATTAGACAGAAGGGCTGTCAAATCAGTATTTGGCAAACCATAGATAAACTCTATCACAGTCACTGAGTTAATCCCCAAAAGAAGATTTTAGACATCTGATGGGGATTAGGTAAACGGTAAAAGGCTATTCATGAATAATTGATCTCAAGAAGTCAGCCAAAAGCATTTATATAAAATGAGGGAAATGTCAAAACAAAACCTTTAGGATAAATCCTGAGAGGTGTGTGTTATACCAAAAACTCTGAATGTGTGTTTTATATGTCTGTGTCAGGGTGTGTGTGTGTGTGTGTATGTGTGTTCATTTTAAAAAATTAAAAAAATAAAAAATCACCTGAGTCTTACATGCTACTTTATGTTTCTGGTTGCTTTTTGAAAGTCAAAGCACTGCACAGTAGGAGTTGATGGCATTATCAAAACTTTGTTGGTTAAGGAGGCTCATACCTCACTGAGGATAAACTCTGAGATTCTTTGGTTGAATCAAAAATAATTTTACAAATTAAAATTATCTCTTGGGCCAATAAGATGGAAATAGGTCTAGCAATAGCAGTTGGCCAGTGTTCATGTTAGACTGAATCATTCTTCAGTTATTTCCAGCATGGAAACTGTTTCAGGAAGGTTTGAACTTGGATCAGTCTCAGAAATGTCAGGAGGCTTTTCATAAAATCCTAATATGAAATAATTTTAATACATTCATTTCCAGGTTTAAGGGGTACATTAAAATAAAAAGACGAATTATATTTTTTAGTACTGCCTCACACTCGCTTTACATGTTGGTCCTGAAATACAAGTTCAGGTCAAACTAATGCATTTTACTAGAGTCCAAGACATTACATTGGAACCTGGAAGGATTCCAATGGTATAAACAAGAGTGTTAACCAGCCAAGCTGTGGCAGGTTAACTCTCAGTCTGCAGACACACACTATCTTGCCAAAGATATTTTCTCACTGTCTTTACGCATACTGTATGAATGTGAGTGAGTGGCATCCAGTTCTTAATCCATCAGGTTTTACATGATGTCAGAACTGACATTAAAGTTCTAATAACTTTGGCTTTCATGAGAAGGCTTTCCTTCACGTTTGGGATTGTATTCATAGAAATGATTTACCACTCTTCTAGAACTGCATTTGTGTGGCCAGACCCTGATGTTGGACAAGAATGCCTCGCTTGCAGTATTAACTAATTCATCCAAAATGTATTCTGTGTAGATCTTAGATGGTTCACTTGCTGTTGCACTGTAGCAGCAAGAGGACCATCCCCTGTTGCAATAGAGTTTTAAGTATCAAATTGTTCAACATGTCTTGATATGCTGATGTACTAAGAACTCTTTTTACACTAAGTCAAGGCCCAACTCTTGAAAAACATGTCTGCACTTTAATCCTCAGTCAAGCCGTGTTCTCCTGGCAACTTGTGATTTTAGAAGCGGTTATCATGTCTGGATACATGATTTCATATAACCGTAGCCCTAAAATGGCTTTAGTTGGTGACTGAATATTTTTGGCAATACGGTGGAGCTGTCTCTATACCTGCAAATGTAAAGCTTAACAAAAAGGGCAAATGATAACAACCAGAAGCAGAATAGATCTGTGATGTAAGCTGTTTGCAAAGATCGCTAAATGGATCAAATGTAGCATTAACAATGCGATGCCGAGAAGCAGTTTATGCTATGAACTTTTAAATGTGGAAAAGAACAAAGGGTCAGCTCTACATTAAATAACTTCCCCAGGCTGAAATAATATGTCTCCTTTACAATGTAGGAATTCATTCAACTTCTAACGAAGTCAAGGGAATTCACACTCACACCTATGGTCAGTTTAAAATCACCTCTGCACTTGTTTTGTAAAACTGTGAAGGGGGCCCAAATATAGAAAAATAAAAACAAACATGCTAACTGCTCAAAGACCTCCTATCTGACATTCATATAAGAATGTTGCTTATTGTAAAGTGATAGTGCTATCAACTCCATCATAGAAAACTCTGTTTCTCAGACCTCTTCTAAGACTCTTTTGTATTTTCCACTGAACATGCCTGTTCCTAAAGAGGCATGTTCTAAAATGCTAAAACATTTAGGATTTTTGCTAAAATTTTGTTAGCATTTTAGCATTTAGCAGCTAAAAATGCACAAAGGAGTTACGATTTTAATGTCACCTTAGAGTCTGCAGATAATTACAGGGGGCAGTTGACCGTAAAATACAGCCCACCTTGTTATTTAAGCGATTGGAACCTCTTACAGTTTCTTTGCAAAGGCCATTGTCTGTCCTGTATGTGTATGTGACCTGATGTGTTTGAGGACTGATCATTGTGTTTGTACATTTTCAACTCCTCCTCTTGTGACATCTAGTTTGAGTTTAACGAGTTGATATATTTTTTTTCACAAGGAAGAGTAATTTTGTCCATTTTCTAATTTTCCAAAAGGGCAGTTTACGGTCAGGGACTAGATTAAGTCGAAAGAAAAGAAGAAAAAGCTACCTCTGAGTATAGCTATAGAGGACCACAGAAGCATAAACAAGAGTGTCTGAGTTTGTGTGGGCAAGGGAATATGTGTTGTTGAGTGTCTAAGTAACAATGACTTGCAATTTGTCATTTTCAAACAAGGGTCTATAAACCATCTCATAGTGATTTTATGGTGAAAAATACAGTTTGGACTGAAGTACTGATTTTTCGTTTGGACCTCATGCATTTCTGTGACCAAAATGATTTAGCTGGATATGTTGCCGTCTGTATGTAAGCTGTTCTCTATTGATATTCTGGTAGGATCCCTGTTGACTCAATTAGGACTGCATATTGCTTTGCAAAGCTCCAATTAATGTGGGAATGCAGACATTAACATCAACTGCATCTGAATATGAATTAAGGTAACTGTACTTCTATAGCACTTTATCTAGTCCACAGGAACCCAAAGTGCTTTAAGCTACATTCAGTCATCGTCCCATTCCCACATTGATGGTGCCTACTACATTGTGCAAATCACTGGGGCAGTCTGACAGAAGTGAGGCTGCCATCCACAATGACTTAGACAGATAGAGCAGGGGTTTGAACCAGCAACCCACCAGTTTCAGGACAGACTCCTACCACCGTTGTCCTACCAAGGTATATGCATGTACATAATTCACCTTTGTTTACAGTGATTTGCATATGCAATCATTCATTTCTTTATAAAGTGATTTAAAAAAAAAAACAGAGTCAACCAAAGTGCTGTGTACGTCAATAAGAAAGGCTGGCATCAATCACATTAATTTATAATTTTGTATGCAGCCTTTTGACTTTTATTTTCATTACAGACACAAACTGAATGCTTTTTTTTATTGGAATTTTATGTCACTTACCAACACCAAGTAATGCATATGTGTGATATGTATACATCACTGTTAGTCAATAATTTGTAGAAAACATTAATTAGTAATACTTTATTTGAAGGAGTGTGCATAAGACTGACATGACACTGTCATAAACATGACATAACACCTGTCATGAACATAAAGAAGTCTTTATAAATGTTTATGACAGTGTCATGAAGAGTTGTTCGGTAAATAATTACACTTTTAATGCAAAGTTGCTCTAAAAGTTGCATTGAAAGTGCCAACTTTGCATGATTTTGTAAATTATGACAATTTAAAGCAAAGTTGGCATTTTTAACGGACTTATGATGCAACTTTTAGAGCAACTTTGCATTAAAAGTGGAATTATTTACCGAATGACACTTCATGACAACTGTCATAAACATTCATAAAGACTGCTTTATGTTCATGAGAGATGTTATGTCGTGTTTTTGACAGTGTCATGTCAGCCTTATGCACACCCCTTCAAATGAAGTGTTACCCATTAATTTGCACCGAAAACCGCAAGACTTTTTAGAATATGTGTTTACTAGCTTTCCACAATAGAATATGTTCCCATATTTTGCTGGAGTTCTACAAACAGCCATTCATAAGCAATGCCAAAGATCTGCACATTGACTGAGCCATTCTAAAACACACATATGATTTCATCCAAGCGATTCTTTAGTTGTATGCTTAAAGTTGCTTCCCTCCTGGAAAGTTAAGCTACTCCAATTTCTTTCTTAGTCTCTAACTGATTTTTATCCAACATTGTTCTAGATTTTGTTCCACCCATCTTCTCATCACCTGTAATCAGAGTCAATGCCAGTGCTAAATTTAAATATTCCACAGTATGCCGACTAGGCCATATAGGAGCCTTAACAAAACAAACAAGCAAACAAAATTAGAAGAATAACTGAACTAAGACAAGAAATGAGCTGATATCTGAAAACAATAAAGATTAAAACAGAAAAGATAAAATGTCCAAAGGATTATGACAAAAAAAAAAACAACAACTTATATTTCCTGAACCGACTGTAGTCAGGTTCACAAACCTACCCTGCGCAGAGAGGGAGAGAGAGGTGGGAGGAGAGAGAGGAAGGGCGCTCCTCCTCCTCCTCCTCCTCCGTCTCTTCCTACCACTCATCCCGAAAAGCCAAGGTAACGCGGTCCTCGCGGCGGACTCCGCTCATCGTTTTTCCTCCCGCATCATGGAAACTGATAGAAAACGACTGTGGTACGTTGCTCAGCACTACTTTTCCGCTTTCCTTCCCTTCTAAGTAGAAATGTCCTTCTCTTAGCTTAATAACTTCTCTGCCATCTTTTTTTTTTCAGACACGTTATCGGTAATAAAAAAACAAATTAAAAAAAACCCTAGCTGGTTGAAACTTAACAGTTCGGAGAGGCGGTCGTGTTTCTTTGGATGGAGAATTTTGAATCGGTGAGTTTGAAGCCTTACTGACCGAAAGCGGTCAACATTCATCCGCAAACAAGAAGATATTACTCTCAATCTTCTCTGTGTCTCTTTGACTCATTGCGCCGGCAGATTCTGTATTGCAGTTTATAATTATTAACATTCCGGGTGTCAAATTAATGTGGTTTCATTTGCTGTTTATTAAATAGTTTGTTTGATCTTAAAATTTAAGCTGCATCTTCTCTCTCTCTCTTTCTCTCTATTTCTATGAGCTGGAACTCAACAGGTTTTTGATCTACCCTGAAAAAGACCTTCAACAAAGTCAAAGTTTTAAAGAGATACGAAGAAAAAAAATGATGCCAATTTAGTAATTTAATTTGCTTTTCCCTTTTGCATTTTTTTTTATCTGTAAGATGCAGTTAATTATAACCTGAGGAGGTTCTCGTATTGCAGCTCCGCAGGAAGGAGAAGAGAAAGATAACCTTGAAGTGAAGGCAGATGATTCTTTTTGAAGGTGCAATCTGTCTCTGCACTGAAACCCACTGTGCTAATCAAAACTGTGTCTAAGAATGTAGCTCTCATCCAGTTAATGATGAACTTCATTTCTGTCACTCCTTAAATAACTAATTTCATATTGAAAATAAATGATTAAAATGTTGTTTAAAGAGACCTGCTTTTGTTTTCCTAATTAGCTTGTGATTTTGTTTACATTGTAATATCTCTGTTAGTTTAATATCAAAATATCAGAATCGCCCCTCCTCCCCCATCAAAGTTGAAACATTATTGTTTAAGTAAGTGATTCCCACCCTCATCGATTTCTTCCATGTTTTTTTTTTATTTTTTTAATTTTTTTTTTTTTTTTTATCACAGATGGTGAAGACGCTGAAGTCAAGCTGGTTGTGAAGGTGTTTGACCTGTTTCCCCCTGCGCCCCGAGCCAAAACCATCATGGCAGCGGGAGTAGCGGCATGGCTTCCGTTTGCCCGGGCAGCGGCGATCGGCTGGATGCCTGTGGCCAACTTGCCCATGCCGGTCGCCCCCACTGAAAAGAACAAGAGGCAGGACGAGCTCATAGTCCTTAATGTCAGTGGACGGCGCTTCCAGACCTGGAGGAACACCCTGGACCGCTATCCGGACACGCTGCTCGGCAGCTCGGAGAAGGAGTTCTTCTACAACGAGGACACCAAAGAGTACTTCTTTGACCGTGACCCTGACGTGTTCCGCAGTGTGCTTAACTTCTACCGCACTGGCAAGCTCCACTATCCACGATATGAGTGCATCTCCTCTTATGATGAGGAGCTAGCTTTCTTTGGCATTGTCCCAGAGATCATCGGGGACTGCTGCTATGAAGAGTACAAGGACAGGAAGCGAGAGAATGCAGAGCGCCTCATGGACGACCAGGAGGACAACAAAGATGCCAAGCTGCCCAACATGACATTCAGGGAAACCATGTGGCGTGCATTTGAGAACCCTCACACTTCCACGATGGCTCTGGTCTTCTACTATGTCACTGGTTTCTTCATTGCTGTCTCTGTCATCACCAACGTGGTAGAGACAGTGCCCTGCGGCTCAGCGCCCAACATGAAGGAAGTGCCATGTGGCGAGCGCTACACTGTGGCCTTTTTCTGCATGGACACTGCCTGCGTGATGATCTTCACGGTGGAGTACCTGATGCGCCTGTTTGCTGCGCCCAACCGCTACCGCTTCATGAGATCCGTCATGAGCATCATTGATGTGGTGGCCATCCTACCCTATTACATCGGGCTGGTGATGACTGACAACGAGGACGTGAGCGGGGCTTTCGTGACGCTGCGGGTTTTCCGGGTGTTCCGTATCTTTAAGTTCTCCCGTCACTCGCAGGGCCTGCGCATCCTGGGCTACACGCTGAAGAGCTGTGCCTCGGAGCTGGGGTTCCTGCTCTTCTCCCTCACCATGGCCATAATTATCTTTGCCACTGTCATGTTCTACGCAGAGAAGGGTTCAACCTCCAGCAAATTCACCAGCATCCCAGCCTCCTTTTGGTACACCATCGTTACTATGACAACGCTCGGGTAAGAGCACACATGTCTTTTATCTGGTTGTGATTTGCTGTATGTGTGTGTGTGTGTGCGTGTGTGCGTGTTTGTGTGTGTGTATGCGTGCATGCATGTTTATGAGACTCGGCAAATGAATCTGGAAATGGATCCATTTCTATTTTAAGCTGTGTGGGTAAATGTTTGATTACAGCTTAACTTGAAGCGTCTGATTCTGTGGACTCAAAACCTGCAAGTGCTTCTGAAAGCAGGTCCACTCTCTCCAAAGCATCTCTTCTAAACTTTTCATATAACTGCAGAGAAATAGCACTTTCTTCTCCGTGCATCTTTTCTCTTTTTTTTTTTTTTTGTTTCGTGACTACTCTTCTGGGAAGAGCAGCCATCAAGATATTCTCTTTCAGTAATGACTGTGCCACTGCTCAGACTTCAAAACATCACTGAGAAAAGGAACATGGGGAAATGTGGAGAGAAAAAGGAAGTTGAAAGCGCCTCACTGAAACAAAACATTAGAGAGGCGATGGAGAAACAGATTATGGCATTACTGCTGTCTCTAACTCCCCCTGTGGTTAGCAGCAACACACTTCCAGGATCAACTGAAACAGTGACTCTGCATGTGGAGAGCACTCCTACTTACTTCAACTACATCCCACAAATAGACTTACTCTTTGTTGGATGGAGATAAAGTGCCTTGAGGTTAAGGCTATAAATGTGAAGCACATAACTGCGCTCTATTCAAAGCGAATCAAATATTTGCTTTGAGGTTACCGACAGTTTTAATATTATTGGTACTAACAGATTTACAAAAGCAGAAATGCTGCCATTTACTAAGTAAACGACTGATCATTGTGCAGCATTCAGGTTGTTATTGTGTCCTGTTTAAAAACTGTAAATTGTCATTGATTGAGTGCTATAGGAAGAAGATTTTGAGCATTTGTGATGCATCAATTAGTTTTCATCATAAAATTCTGCATTTTTTTTTTTACTAGGGCATCGACTCAAACAGCGTTCATTTAATAATGCATGCAAACAAAGTTACGGGATGTAGCACTATTGGGCCTAATGCTTTAGATGACTTTGTGTGTGTTTGTTTTTGCACATGAGTCAGACTGAGAAGCTGATAAATTGCAGCATCCTGCCAAATGTCAGAGTCATTGAGGCCATAAACGACTCTGAGCTCATTGCCGTGACACACTTGGAACCCTATGACCATGCCCTGCCATTCACAACCTGTACAGACCTGTTGTTGTGGAAATGTTTGTTTCTGGATTGCCTGTGCACTCCACCTGCAAACAAACATCCGCTAAACCGTGGACATTTTCTGCTCTGCTGGATGTTAATTTTCTGGACACGCAGCAGCTCCTGGCCCATACACAGCCACAGTGCTGGCCTCTCCACCTGAGATGGTGAATCAGTCTCCTGTTGCTTTTAGAGGAGGATCAGCGTCTGTGTTTGTGTGTGTTAAGAGAGGGGTAGCTGTTGAGCTTGGTCTCATCAATAAAGCCAGGGCCAGAAGAGGGTGTCAGAGTGACTAATGATGTGGTCCACTGCATCTGCTGACTAATGTAAACCTTCCTGACATTTTGCTTTCTGCTTACAGTTGACGTCATAAATGCATGGAACCGACACACAAACACATTTAGAGAAAATATGTCTTTGTTTAATTAAGCAGTATGTGTAAACACAAATGTTTTCTCCTTGCACGTGGGTTATGTTAGTTTTTCAAAGATCTTGTAAATACTTTTTTTTTTTATGCTCCTCCTACTTGTTTTTGAATCTGCAAAAAAGGTGTTAGTAAAAACTTTTATACTCACCTAAAACTAAGATGAAAGCCAGTTCCCTCAAACAATGTTGTACTGGACTTTCTATTTTGGTTCCTGGGCCTTAAATGTGTGTCTAAGTACTTTTATTAGAGTTTGATTCAATTCAGCTGAATTGTTCAGTACCAATTCACAACTAATTTTATATCAATGTGTTTTATAAGACAGATGGATTCAGTTGATACATAGTTACATAGACTCCCATTTAATTCAAGTTATTCCAAAGCAACTCAATGATAAAAACGATACAGTTTGATTTGATTAAAATTGTAATGCCATGCAGACAGGTGGAGTTGATTAACTAATTACAACTGGTAAACATTTATGCTTAATGAAGTGGATCGGATTGTATCTGTATCTTGTTGACTTTGCAGCGCTTCTTAAAATTCAGCGATGTGCTGACAGTGGAGAAAATCCACTTCTTCTACACCAGAAACAAACTCCACACTGAACTGGGATCAGTGTGACTGGTCATTTGTCAGGTCTGGGACAAAGAGTAAATGAAATTAATGCGGGAATAGCTCGATCAGTGGCTCTTTTAAGAGCACAACTAAACGGAGACGCACTGAGCCAGGAGCACTTTCTGTAGGAAAAAAAAAAAAAAAAACAGTACTCTGCATGGCACTAGTAACTCCTCTGTAAAGAACATACTTTCATTTCATCAACTAAAATGGCTTTACATGAATTGGGGGTTAAAATTGATCCGTCCATACATGCCTAACCTACCTTGGGAGGAAATAACAAATTGAAGCCACAGATCGATAACGTCTAAGAGCTTTAGGAGTGATACAGCATGACTTTCTAGGCTGTTCTTTCTGGATGTGTGTACAGAACAAAAACACTGCAGGATCTTCAGGTCTCCATCTCATCTGAGCAAGACTTAATCAGCAGCTGGATATAACTTCTTAAGAATGGACAATAACAAGTGTTCTTTAAAGGGCGTCACTTAAAGGGCATTTGGACAGCCAGTATTAGGATCGTAACACAGGTTTTAGTCGGGTGGAAATATCTGACATTTCTTATAAATGTTGCTCAGGTGAATGCTACAAGTTGTTAGCCACGCCCCCTTTAGCTCTGCAACCATCCGTAGGTTCTTGACCTACACACGGTTTGTTATCTCTTCATATCAGCTTCTATGATGTGAAGAACAAAGAAATTCATAATGGCAATATATGTATTTAAGTACTGATTGCAGAATTATGATCTGAAAAGCTATAGTGACCATTACCAAAACGGACAAATGACTATACACAAAATTACTTGCTGTAACCTCTGTTCTTTTGTGAAATGACCATGCAATCGGGAAAATTAAACTTTATGTCTTTTTGTTCCAGTTGTATAATGCCGTATTAACTGGAGTTTTAATTATATTGTATCTATCTAACCTTACTGAAACACATTCTCAGTACTGGGCTGGCCCGCTTTTGCTATTGAAACTCTAATAATTCATTCTGGCATAGATTCAACAAGGTGTTGAAAGCCCTCACAATTATTGGTCCAGATTGGCATGATGGCAACACATATTTGCTGCAGATTTCTTGGTTGCACAACTACAAAGTGAATATCTATCATCTCCCAAAGGTGCTCTGCTGGAGTTATTAAAGCTTTATTGCCTCACATTGCTAAAATATTATCCAAGTTGAGACAGGAATCCAAGATGTTCATAATATGGTTATAGAATACTTCAGAAAATGGTTTTATGAAACCACTCAGCTGTTTTAATCAGAGACAATATGTATTTTCACTCCAGCAATGACTCAGAGTCATTTGAATGTCTCATGCTTGGAATTACCTCACCCTCTTTCAAAATGGCATTATGCTCATCAGAATGCTAATTGAGTCATGGAAGAGTTAGGTACTCCCATAGTATCTTTGTCTTATCTGATTCCTTTACCAACTGCACCTCTTGAGAAACTCATTTCCCCCATGAAGAAAAACGAATTTGCATTATCTAGTTAAAAGACAGAATCCCATTGCTGTTTCTCTAAATCTCTTTAGCTGCATTTATTCCAAAGATCCTATTTTTTTTTTTTTTTTTTTTTTTTTTTTTTTTTTT